TCTTCAAGTTTGGTTGGGGTCCCGTGACAAACTATCCACGAGGCCAGTCCTTGGCAAGCTGAAATAAGAAGCTAGGAGTACTGATGCCTAAGGCCTTGAGAGATGGGTCAAAGCACCAAATGCCCACTATCAATCACCTCCTTTTCTTTAGGCTAGTAAATTCCTTTAAACTCAGGGGAATAGGAATTTACGACCTACACAACATCTTTAAAAGGGATGATTAAATTTAGCACGATCTGCGAGGCTTGGGTAACTAGTCTTCAATACCTAAATTATATTTGCAATAACTAGGCTGCAAGGCAACTACCTTATCTGTATGTTTTCAACAATAACCTTTATTCAGGGTCTTCACTATAACAGTATGGGCGCCATGAGGGTCCTCAGGGATGGGGACACTGGGTGCTCTGGGGATCCCCAAGGATGGGAACGAGAAAGACCCCAGCTCCCAGAAATGGGGGTGACAGGGGTCCCACATTTCTCAGGGACTCAGGTCTTGGGGGTCCCCCAGTGATCCCAGAGGTATGGAGACAGTAGAGTCCCCAGTTCCCCAGGGACGGGGGTTTGGGACACTGAGGGTGTCCCCAGGGCCTGGGGATGCTGAGGTGTCATTGGGGATATTTATAGTGATGCTGAGAAATCATTTTTGGGGGGGAGTTAAAGGGATTTTCAACCACTCCAATGTCAATATTAAAAAAAAACCCAAAACCCCCCCAACAGATAAAAAAACTCTAGAAAAGGTTAAAGAGATAAGGACATGGGAGGTTTAGGGGTAGGAGCTGGTGGTTTTGGTCCTCTCTTGACTTTTACCTTAATTATTTCAGCTTAAAAATTGCCATCCTTGATTTTTTTTTTTTAAGCCTCTCCCATCCCACCACAACAAACCACATGCTGGCAGCAAAGGGAACCACCGTGAGAGCACATGGACCAAATTCACAGTGTTTCAACCCAAAACTGACTCCATTGCCTCTTGGAAAGTGCTGGAGCCCTGAGGATATGAACAGCCACCTCAGGGAGAAGTTTGGACTTGACTTCCCCTAAATTTGGGATCAAAAAAGGGGAAATTGGACAAAAGGAGGAAGCTGCTTGTCCTGAGAGCAGGGGAACCGGAGTGAGGGACGTTCAGCTTTTGGCTGTGTTTGCTCTTCCTGGGGTGCCTCTGAAATTCAGCTGAAATTGGTCAATAGTGAAGTTATTTATAAGTTCTAAGTTTCGTTTTCCAGGGTAGCCAGCCTAGGGCTCAAAGCTCTGAGGGCGTTTGCATAATGAAATGAATTTTCCTGAGAAGGAATGAAGTAAATGGTGCCCAAAAAACTTGAGGATTTTCATAATGTGAAGTTTGCCATGTTAAAAATGCAAGAAATTCTCACAAAAATGCTGAAGAAAATGCGGAAGAATTACCACCAAACAGCAACAACAAATTAACCAGATTTAGGTGCTCACCTTGGAAGATGCTGGTTGATGTTTTGGCATGAAGCCTCCAAAAACTGCTTCCTTGGGCAGGTGTCAGCCTCATTTGAGGAGAGCAGAGTGTATTTTTGAACCTGTTCTTCTAAAAATCAACAAGGAAGCGTCTATGGCACGTAATGAGGGGCAGCCCAAGCGCATTGGCCCCTCCAAAGCTCCTGAGCATGCAGATTTTTTTTTTACTAGGAAATTAGAATTATGAAACGTAAGCATTTCCCCCCCTCCAGGATGAGATGACTTGTCTTCTCCACTATATAAATTGGGGTGGTATCAAAAGAGAAAGGATCAGAGATGTCACAAGGCGGAGGTGCTGTCGGCACCTATGAGAAATGGGAATTCGCTGAGGGGATGGAGTTGGAGAAGCAAGAACAGAGGAAAGCACCTAAAGGAGGTATCAGGGTGAGGGAGCGGCTTTGGGGATCCAGAGACATGAAACTGGAGGGTTTCAGCTCTTTAAACTGGTCTTTCTCCGAAGTTATAGCAAAATTTTGTTGCCTGGTTCCTCTTTTGGGTCACAATCTAGGAAAAAGAGGTTTGAGTGTGGAGAACAGGGTGGTGGAGCCACTGGAGAGGTTGTTTTTGGGGGATTCTCTCCTCTTTGTGCTCTTGTTTAAGAAAGTATCTGTTGGAGGGGAGTTATTTGGGGCTGTCTCACCCTATTTCACCCCTGGCAGTGCTGTCCATCCTAACCTTGTCTCTGGAGAGAGCCGTCACGCTGTTGTATGTGCTTCTGGCCCTCACCTTTGTGTTCTTCACAACTCTCACCGTCGTGAATCTCCAGAGAGGTGAGTCCAACGCACGCCCCTTGCTCTGATTGCGTCCGCCGAGCGTGGGGTGAAAACACCAGCAAATGGAGCAAAACGTGGCTCCAAGTTAGGAAGGCCCTTTTGCAGCCCATGAGCTCTCCGGGGCCAGGTCCGGAGCAAAGGTGAGCGTTCTCTTCCTCTCCCCAAGTATCTGCAGCGTGGAAGGCGTTGGAACAAGCCCGGATGCAGAGCGAGAACAGCCACACGACGGCATGGCACAACCTTTCGGAGGTCCGGCGCGTCCTCGGTATGACATCTGCTCCCTGGCACCTGCTTCATCCACAATACCTGCATTGATTTTCCCCTCGGTGCTTTCTGAGTGCTTTTTCCAGAAAAAAAAAACCCAAACTGAAGCTGTTTCCCATCAGGCCAGAGATAGTCAGGGCTTGTTTTGAGATTTTACTTTTTATTTTTCTCTTAGATAAACAGTTCTCTGGTGAGCTCAAGGTGATTCGCAGCCGACTTCTGAATGGTATGGCAAGGAAAAGTTGGATTTAGGGAAATTCAGGCAGAATCCTGAATACCGGGTGCAGACAGCAGTGAGATAAGGTCAAAAGTGGAGGTTTTTTTCTCCTTCCAGTGTCACAAGAACTGGAGAATGTGCGGTGGAAGATGACACGGTGCAAAGAGGATTGTGGCAAGGAGCTGTCTGATCGACTCCGTGTCCTGGGTGAGAACCTGATTTTGGTGGGAAATGGTTAAATTCAGTCCTTCTCCTCGATTCCCAAAACACAGAATTGGATAGATGTTCCAAAGATTTCTAAAATATGCACCAGGAGTGCACGAAGCCAATCTTAATGAGTTTGAGATATCATTCAGTATAATGTTAATGGAAAAAAACCACTTTTCTCAGCCTGTTGACAAATACAATAAAAAAATAATTCAACGAAAGGGCTTTTGGGGTTTTACTGCCTGAAATTTAAAGAACAGTAACTCACAGCAGGAAAACACACAGCGAAAGCCACAGTGTAAATTGAGATGGAAAGGAAAAAGGGGAAGGGAGACAAAACTGGGGATTTTAGGTCTGAATTACTTTTTATTCTCTCCCTGGCAGAGGAAAGGGACGTGCTGGAGCCGGTGCTGCGGCAGCTGGCGGAGGTGAAGCAGGAGCAGAACCGCACGTCAGCACTTCTCGACGCGGCGCTGGAGGAGAAGCGCAACCTCTCAGGTGAGGAGTAGCCGTCGGGCTGAGCCCACAGGCATCCTTCTGCATGTTCTAACGTGTTCTTTTGTTCTTTTTTTTTTCCCCCCTATTTTCCCTCAGAAATTCTCTGCACGAGGTGTCCCGCTGGCTGGCAGCAGTTTGCCAAAACCTGTTATTTCTTCTCCACCACCAACAAACCCTGGCTGGCTGCTAAAGACTCCTGCGCCGACTTCAACGCCCATCTGGCTGTCATCGACACTGAGCAGGAAAACGTAAGCTGAGAAATCCTGTAAAAAGCAAAAAAACCCCCAGATTTCATGAGTTTAAAGGAATATTAGACTCCAATTCCACAAATGGAAAGCTGGAGGTTAAGCACAAGCGACTCAAGACTGCCTGCGGAAGGGGTGAAACGCAACTGGTTCAGGTTCCTACTTAGTTTTGTAGTGATCTGGCCAAATTGCATGAATCTGTCCCCAAAATGGCCAGTGGAATTTAAGATTTTTTTTTGGAAAAGCTAGGGAGGAGTGGCTGCCCCACTGGGGTCTGTGTGACCCCAAGGGAATCCCGGGGTATGAGAGGTGCTCACCTGCATTTGGGGTGGATGCACCATGGCTCTTAAGGTGATCCCTCCTCGTGATCATATAGGAATGATAAAAGTTGTTTAGAAATTACAGAATTTATTTTGAAATTTTAAATGTTAAAGAGTGAATTACAGAAATGGAACCTAAACTGTGCACAAATTAACATTTCTGCCCCGATTTAGACAACCTCTGCCTCCCATTCAGGAAGATTTTTTCAACAAATCGGCTTTTAAAAAGCACATTGAGTCTGAAAAATATTTCTTCCTCCAGATATTAGAAATTTCAGCACTTTTTTCCCATTTCTGATGGGAAATGTTGCATTTTGCGTCACACTTGTGACACGCCACAGTTGTCCCCAATGTCACCAACTGCCAGCGCTGGCCTCAGCGCCACCGAATCCCTTTGCTGGCGCCTTCCACTTCCCCTCCTGAAGCTTTTTTTTTTTTTTCCCTCTGTTTGCAGAAATTTCTGGCAAATCACATCATGGACAACCGGGTGTTCTGGCTGGGCCTGACTGACGTGCACAAAGAAGGCGACTGGCAGTGGGTGGACGGCCGCTCCATCTCTCTCTCGTATGTTTTTAGCCTCATCAGAGGGTAAATTGCCCCCAAAAATCAGCTCTGTTCTCCCCCAGCCTCTTTTTTTGCTCAAAAAAGGTGCTGCACACTCATTAGCACATCTGCCTGCTCTGGTTTAGTGCTTAAAAATCACAGAACTAAGTTTTATGCTGTCACGGCACCTGAAAATACTGAGTGGAGGGAAAGGTAAGAGGAGCCACCCTGCTGCAAGCAAGATTTTGGCTTTTTTACCCCAAAATTTGCTTTTGTTTTGGGGCTGAAAACCCAAGTGGGAATGTGCAAGGAGTCACAGCACCTGCTTGGTTCATCTCAGTTCGGTTGGTTCCTGACTGAGACCCCGCACCCTGGGTCAAAGAGATTATTTCTAGTGGATCTCCTCATTTTGGGGATTTTTGGAAGAATACCACAATCGAAGCGGAGCCATTTTCCCACGCTAAATGGGGGGAAAACAGGAAAATTGCTGAAATTGCATTGCTGCATTAAACGGAGGGAGAAAGTTTTTTTGAGGGGGCTGTTGCCTTCCCTGGGAGAAGCTGCAAGGCCGGTGTGCTCTCTGCTTGCCTCCCCCCTACTTAAAAAAACCCCCCAAACCCAAACTTAGAGTTTTTTACCCAAACTGGTGTGCTCTCCCACCACAGGTTCTGGAACAGAGGTGAACCCAACAACGTGGGCCATGACGGCGAGGACTGTGCCACCATCTACTCCACTGGCTACTGGAATGACGTCCCCTGTTCCAACGCCGAGTCCTGGATCTGTGAGCGCAGCTGCTAGCGGTTTCCCCACCCTGGGCCACCATGTCACCTCCCCAGGGCTTAAAAATGGGGAAAAAACTGTAAAAAACTGGCAAAACCAAGCACATGGTGAAAACAAAAGGCTCTGGGGGAAAGAGGTGTCCAAAAAAATCAGTATCTCGCTTCCCAAAATTGGGGTGCACTGCCTGAAGTGGGCACAGCACCGTAGCAGAGGGATTAAAAAAACTGAGGGGGGTCATTCCTCTTTGGAGAGGGAGTAAGAGATTTTTGGGGTGATAATTACCATTTTAGGAGCCATTCACCTGTTGTGCTGAGGCTTGCCGTATTGCTTGCTGGTTAATCAGGGAAAAAAAAAGAGGAAAATAAATAAAGCATTTTGATTGCGATTTGAACCAAAACTCACATAAATCAAGCCGACGTGGTGCCAAACGGGGTCGGTGCGCAGCTTTTTCCCAGGGTTTAGATAAAAAAAAAAAAACCAACAAAAAAAGGGAAGAGAGACCAGTGAAGACGAGGTGCGAGTGTGTCTGCAGGGTGTGTATGCAAATCCTCAACTCGTGGGTGCTGAAGCGCGACACCTGTTTTGCCGAAAGGCTGTGCTGCTGGATTTCTCTCCCGGCAAAAACAGCGGCTCTGCTGGAAGATTTGGGATTTCAACAGCGTCGTGGTCA